GCGTCGACGCGGCCCGGCCACGCGTCGTCCGCAGCTGCTGCCGCACCCACCGCGGCCTTATCCGGGGGCGCGGCGGGGCCCAGCCCGGTGGCCAGGCCTCCGCGGTGGTGGTTCAGCACCTGCTCGATAGCCTGCACCACATCGCCGCCGCAGCCCTGCAGCACCAGCTCCAGGACACCCCGCCGGTGGCCCGGGAAGACGCGCGTCAAGATGTCCAGCGGCGTCCGCTGCCGTGGACCCTGGCCTCCGCCCAACCCTGGCGCCGGCGCGGCCTCGGCCTCTTCTTTGTCAGCCTCTGAACCGGATTCGGAGCCCAGAGGGCTGTCGGAGCCCGGGCTGTCCTCCTCGCCGCCGCCGCCGGGACCAGCGCTGCCCGGGCAGCTGCCACCCGCCTCCTTGGAGGCCCGGGCCAGGGGCGACCCCGAAAAGGACTCGCCGTCGCCGTTCTCCGAGCCCGAGCCGGGCCGCACCTCCGGGGACGACGTCCTGGGACCCGAGTCCGCGCCGTCGGGTGATAAGGGTTTCACCTGCGGCGGCTGAGGGCTGCCCGGGCGGCCTGCCTGAAGCAGCGTCTTGGGAAACAGGTCAAACTTCTGCAACTTGGCCTCTGAGAGGGGAGAAAGGAGGATATGAGGAGCGGTTAGCGAGGAGACAACCGCACCCACAGCATCCCAGCCCTTGGGAATCCTAGTTCTCTCTCCCTCTGAGCCCAGCAGCCCTCATTCACTGGGCTCCAGTGCCCCTTTCCTGCGGCTCCAGCATTCCTTTCTCCCTAAGCCCATATAGCCCTGTCTCTTTTCTTCTGCCTCCAGGGCTAGCTCTTTCTGTACCCAGAACCCCAACCACCTGTGTGTCCAGTGCTGCTCTTTCCACCTCTGTGTCCCAACACCTCCACCCTTAACCTCCTTCCCAGTCCTTCCTTGTCCTGGAGAAACGGCCTGCTCCCAGGGTTCAACCTATACCACACATTGTAAAGAAGACCTCACTCCACCCCTGTAGTCTGGGCGCCAACCCTGCCCTGGGCAGCACAGCCTGTAAGAGAAGGCATCTTGGGGATCTAGGAGGTCCGAAGCCTCTCTACAGATGGAAGCAGAACCCCTTTTTCTAATCCACCCTTTCCAAATTTGAGACTCATAAGTTTTCCTTTCCCTAGCTGAGGGCCTCCCTGAAGGTCCCCGCCTAATTTCCGCTGCCAGAAAAGGCCAAGGGAGCCCAAAAGAAGAGGGTGGGGCTGGGCAGGGAGTAGACAGGGAAAAGGAAGATGGATCTAGGGAAATGAGAGCACGTACCCCCAGAAAACCGGGACAAGTGGGGAAAGAAGCTAGAAAGGAGGGTGCGGCGTGTGGTTGTCTAGGGAGCGTCAGGAACATGAGAAAAGGAATGACACGAGGAAAAGGAACGAGGGCGTCTTCTCTGTCTAGACTAAGCAACGAGGGCCAGGGGGAAGGCTCGGAGGGGGTCGGATATCTGAACAGAGTTGGGAAGCAGCAGAGGAAAAGGCGGCGTGTGGAGAAGCGCAGAACCAACGAAAGATAGGGCTCTCGGGCTTCCACCCTGGGGAGAAGAGGCGAAGGGAGCGAGGAAGCAGGAACCTGCCAGTGTTTGGGTAGAGGAGAGTAAGAGCAAAGCGTGGACATCTGGGTCCGCGGTGAGAGAAAGGAGCGAAGCGCGAGTGCTCCACGAAGGGGACACAGGAGAGTTTATGTGTTGTGCCCAGTATCAGGGGCTAGGTGCGCAGTGAACTCGCAATCGGGGCTTTTGGAGACAAGGCCCCGGGCCGCGTGCCCCAGGGGGCCGACCCTGCTCCCCTCCCCTCCAGGCTGACCGCGCTCTCACCTGCGCCCGCTGCGCCGCCTCCGGTCCCCGCGGGCGCTCCCGCACCGGGCCCCCCGCCGTCAGCGGCGCACACTGTGCCAAAGACCTCGTAGGCGGGCCGCGGTGGGATGATACCGTTGGCTGCGGCCAGCGCCAGGCCCTCGGCAGTGCCATAGAGCAGCTGTAGCTCACGCGCCTCGTTCTCTTCCTGCGCCTGCTGCCTGCGCAGAGCTACCTGTGCCGCCATGACGCGCTGGCGCTCGGCGATGAGCGTGCACTTGGCACATAGACAGTCCTTCCAGCGACAGTAGCGCTTATGGCCTTTGAGCGCGGACACCACGCCGTGGTTGCGGCAGCGCGCGCACTTGGGGGTCCGCGGATACTTCTCGGCCGCCCGCAACAACAGCGGCGGCGCCCGCAGCAAACCGCCC